TCCCCCACCTCCTCCTGTTCCTGCTCCTGCTCCTACACCTCCTGCTGCAGCAGCGGCTGCAGCAGCTGCTGCTGCGTCTGGAGCAGACAGGTTCAACGCCGCTCCTGCTGCTCCGACCGCCGTGCTTCCTGCTGTGGCCCCCGCCACGCCTAAGCCTGCACCTCCCAAACCTACAGCTCCGGGGGACATAGGCCCCACCACAGGTGACGAACCAGCAGCTCGATCCCTCGACCCACCCTTAGCGTCTCCTTTCGCCCCCCTTGCTGCCGCCCCTCTTTGACTGCCAGACCGCTGCAACACCCCGTCCTTCCTCTCCTCTTTCCCATCCTCCATTCTACTCTGCACTTCCTGCTCTCTCCCTCCTCTCCCCCTCTCCCTCCCCTTCTCCACCCTCCCCTTGTCCTTCTCCTCCTTCTCCCTCCCCTTCCCCCGCCCCGCCTCCTTGCGCCCATCCCTTTCCCTTGCCTCCTTCTCCTTCTCCCTGCCTCTCTCTGCCTCGGCATTCAGCAGCATCAGATCGAACCCCTTTCTGGATCCTACGGCCTCCTCGCCTTTATTAAAGGAGGGAGTTTTTCTAAGCCTGGCTTCCATATTAAGCTCTCCCTCCGCCCTCCCTCCCACCCCTTCCTTGGGCGTTTCACCCTTTAACCCTACTCCTAATCCTCCCTCTCGCCCTCCTGCTAATCCTCCCGCCATGTGTTTATGTGTAACGCCTGCTGCGGGTGGCGGCTGAAGGGATAAGACCGGGAGGAGACGGATGAGACGGGGAAGAGGGTGAACTGGCAAGGATGGGAAGGAAGCAATGAAGAGAATGAGAAAGATGAGATGGGGAGAATGAGAAGAACGCGCCATAGAACGCTGTAACTACTTTTAAGGCAGCCTCAAAACTGCACACACTCCCTCAGGCCTGCGCACCACACATACACCATGCACACCACACCTCACGCACACACCACACACACACCACACTTCACATACCCACTCCATACACACCACACTCGCCACACACCCCACCCCAGACCGCAACCCACACAATGCACACCACACCCCACACACTCGCCACATTAGCCACACATGCCACACACCACAGACACACTCACCACATTCGCCACACATGCCACACACCACAGACACACTCACCACACCACAGTAGACCGCACCACACCACACCGCACCACGCCGCACACACACACACACACTCACCATGCCACGCTGCAAATGTGCCTTGCTCTCCCCTTCTGCTGTCTCCTCCTCGTCCACCGCTCCCAACCGCTCTGAACTCGGAACCAGCAGTGAGAGGCCGTTGCCTGGAGGAGACTGTTTGGTGGGGGAAGAGGGGGAAGGAAGGAGAGAGTGGCATTGAGGGGGGGACAGGAGTGGGGAGGAGAAGGGAGAAACAAGATTAACAAAGCATCAGCTTGGTGAGATAATTTAAGACTTGCACACGTCTCAGCCTAACGGCACCATACCAAGCACGTAACATGAGGTCGAGTTAGAGCTTGTTGGGGCGTTCGGAGTGCTGCTGCTGCGGCGGCTACTGGGGCAACTCGTGAGTCGACTCGAGGGTCATCAAGCACGCACGTACCAAGAGGTGTGGCACGCGTAAAAAACGCCATGAAAGGCACGTACCATGGAAGGCACGTACCATGAAAGGCACGTACCATGAAAGGCACGTACCATGAAAGGCACGTACCATGAAAGGCACGTACCATGAAAGGCACGTACCATGAAAGGCACGTACCATGAAAGGCACGTACCATGACAGGCACGTACCATGAAAGGCACGTACCATGAAAGGCACGTACCATGAAAGGCACGTACCATGAAAGGCACGTACCATGAAAGGCACGTATCATGAAAGGCACGTACCATGAAAGGCACGTACCATGAGGTCAAGCTCAAGCTTGTTGGAACGCAGAGACTGCTGCGGCACTGGCCTTGAGGCCCCTCAGGCCTTTTAACACACCTCACACGTACCATGAGGTCAAGCTCAAGCTTGTTGGAACGCAGGGACTGCTGCTGCGCTGGCCTTGAGGCCCCTCAGGCCTTTTAACACACCTCACACGTACCATGAGGTCAAGCTCAAGCTTGTTGGAACGCAGGGACTGCTGCTGCGCTGGCCTTGAGGCCCCTCAGGCCTTTTAACACACCTCACACGTACCATGAGGTCAAGCTCAAGCTTGTTGGAACGCAGAGACTGCTGCTGCAGCGGCCACTGGTCCTTGCTGTCTGTAGTGGTCGCCACGGCTGAAGACGGTCCCATGCGCAGCCTGAGGGGAGGAGAAGAAAGTGGGGGAAAGGGAGAAGTGGGAGGGAATGAGGGGACACGAAGTGAAAGGGGGGAGATTGCTGCTGTGGCGGCCACTGGTCCTTGCTGTCTGTAGTGGTAGCCATGGCTGAAGGGGGTCCCATTCGCAGCCTGAGGAAAGGGGAGAGCAGGGGGAGAGGGTAGGGTGCAGGGGAACGGGACGGAGGGGCGGGGGGAGGAAAGAAGGGGCATGAGGTGGAGGGGGGAGACTGCTGCTGCAGCGGCCACTGGTCCTTGCTGTCTGTAGTGGCAGGCATGGCTGAAGGGGGTCCCATGCGCAGCCTGAGGGGAGGAGAAGAAAGTGGGGGAAAGGGAGAAGTGGGAGGGAATGAGGGGACACGAGGTGAAAGGAGGGAGACTGCTGCTGTGGCGGCCACTGGTACTTTCTGTCTGTAGTGGTAGCCATGGCTGAAGGGGGTCCCATGTGCAACCTGAGGAAAGGTGGGGTGGGGGGGGGAGGGAGGGGGAGGGGGGGTGGGGGAGGGGAAGAATGGGGAAGGGGGACGGAAGGGGGGACGGGGATGGAAGGCAGGAGGGAACGAGGGGAAACAAGGTGAAAAGGAGGGGAATTGCGGCGGCAACTGGTCCTTCTTGTCTTAGGGACTAGTAAGACAAAAGCGCAAAGGTCAACATAAAAGTGCAATGAGCAACAAAGGAGTGTGAATCCTCACCTCGTCTGCTGGTCCAATGCTCCCTCTCCTCCCCCTCCCACCACATCACCAGGTGGCTTTTGAGTCGGCTCAAAAGTCATCTTCCAGCACAAAGGTTTGAGGAGTAACACTGCACAGCACTAATGTTTAATGCATATTCTCACCTCGTCTGCTGGTCCAATGCTCCCTCTCCTACCCCTCCCCCGGCACCACTCGCTCCATCTCCTCCCGCCCCCTTGCCCCCCTTCTCCGCTCCCTGTCCCCCTGCTGCCAACGTTGCAGCAGTCAGCGGGGAAGCAAACAGCCTTGGAGGGGGAGCAGAGGCAGGATGGGCAGCGGCGGTGGCATGAGCAGGAGCAGAGGCGTGTGAAGCAGATGCAGCATGGGCAGAGGCAGCATGGGAAGAAGCGAGGGCGTGGGCATTTGGAGCGAGGGAGGGGTTTCCACCAGCGTGCAGAGCATAAGCAGGGATTGAGTTGTGAAAAACTGGAGCACCCCCTACCCCCGCCGCTGCCGCTGCTGCTGTGGCAGCTCCTGTGGGAAGCATGGGCATTGAGGTGGCTCCTGCAGCAGTGGCGTTGGCAGAAAGGGCAGAAGGAGGAAGAGGAGGAGCAGGAGAAGCAGAGGCAGCACCCGGAGCACCAGTAGCGAGGGGAGTAGCACGGGCAGCAGAAGAGGCAGCCCTAGCAGCAGCCAGCACACTCGACAGGTTCGGGGACGCCGAACCAGGGGTGGTTGCCATGGGCCCAGCCGTCCCTGCCACCGAACCTGGTGAGCTGGCGACCGGACCCTGCACAGCGGTGGCTCGGAGGAGAGCCGACGGTGACGTGGCAGGGCGGGCTGCGCTGGCGTGCGCGCCACCTCGTGCTGAGCTGGCAGCACCGAGAAGATTCTCTAAAGTTAATGGTCGATTTGTTTGGCGTTGGTCCTTCCCTGCCCCCACTGCTCCTGCTCCAACTACTACTCCTGCTGCTGCTGCTGCTGCTCCTCCTGTGGCTGCTCCTGCTCCTGCTCCCGTACCTGCACCACCACCACCACCACCAGCAGCACCAGCAGCAGCACCAGGGGCACCAGGACCGGCAGCAGCAGCTGCTGCAGCGTTCAAAGAGGGAACAGGGAGCAGCATACGATTTTGCCCCATGGAACCAAAGCCCCCTTGCGGGGGAAGAACAGCAGCAGGATTGGGCATTGTCAAAGGCGCAACTCCCCCAAGCCCTCCCGCCATTGCCCCAGCAGGGTTTGGTTGCCCTGTCAGAGGGGCGATGGGCCTGGGAGCTAGAGCCCTAGGGGCGATACTGAGAAGGCCAGCTGTGCCTGTTCCAGATGTACCTCCCCCAGTAGCACCTGCAGGGGCTGCACCTGAGGGCGCGATTGCGTGCGGAGGGCGCAGGGGGGCAGTGGCAGCAGTGGCTGCAGTGGCAGTGGCAGCGTGGGCGGATAGTGGGAGTGAGGGTGCAACGTGAAGCAAAGGTTGCGATCCCTGTGCTTGTGCTTGCGCGTGTGCTTGCGCTACCTGTGCCTGTGCTTGTGCCTGCGCTTGTGCTTGTGCCTGCGCTTGTGCTTGTGATTGTGCTTGTGCATGCCCCTGTGGTTGTGGTTGTGTGCGTTGTGGCCCAAGGTGTTGATAAGGCATGGATGACTGTTGCTGCTGCTGTTGTTGCTGCTGCTGCTGTTGCTGCTGGTGCTGCTGCAGATGCAACATGTGTTGTTGCTGCTGCTGCTGGAGATACTGCTGCTGATGTTGCTGTTGCTGCTGTTCAAGAGTGGATGAGGGCCGCGGTTGAAGCCGAAGCTGCTTTGTTACACCCTGCTGCTGCTGTTGCTGTTGCTGCTGCTGCTGTTGCTGCTGTTGCTGCTGCTGCTGTTGCTGTTGCTGCTGTTGCTGCTGTTGCTGTTGCTGTTGCTGCTGCTGCTGTTGCTGTTGCTGTTGTTGCTGCTGCTGCTGTTGGTTCTGTTGTTGCATATGTTGTTGCATGTGTGGTTGCTGCTGCTGCTGTTGTTGTTGTTGCTGCTGTTGCTGTTGATGCTGCTGTTGGTGTTGCTGCTGCTGCTGATTCTGTTGTTGCATGTGTGATTGCTGCTGTTGTTGCTGCTGCATGTGCTGTTGCTGCTGTTGCACTTGCTGCATCTGCTGTTGCTGCTGTTGCACTTGCTGCATCTGCTGTTGCTGTTGTTGTTGCTGCTGCTGCTGCTGCTGCTGTGGTGACGGCTGCCCTGTCGGTTGCAGGTGCAACTGAAGTTGCAACTGCGGCTTTTGCTGCTGCTGCTGTTGCTGTAGCTGTTGCTGTTGTTGTGGCTGCTGTTGTTGTTGTTGTTGCTGCTGCTGCTGCTGCTGCTGTTGCTGCTGCGGCTGCTGCTGTTGCTGCTGCTGCTGCATTTGCAACATGTGTTGCTGCTGCTGCTGCTGCTGCTGAAGATACTGCTGCTGCGGCTGGTACTGCAACTGCTGTTGCGTTTGCCCTGTGTTACCTGCCCCGCCCTTAGACCCACCCTGCTGCGGGGGCATCAGATGCAGTTGTAGTGACGACTGCTGCTGCTGGTACTGTCCCTGCTGCTCCTGCCCCTTCTGCTGTTGCTGGAACTGAGACTGCTGCTCTTGCCCCTTGTGCTGCTGCAGATGTAGCAGGTTCTGCTGTCCTATCACTGGCTGACCAGCCGTCTGCTGTCCTACCATCTGCTGACCCGGCTGTTGCAAGGGTGGCCGCGCTTGCAACAACTGAGGTGCCTGTTGCTGCTGTGTTGGTTGCGGTTGTTGGTGCTGCTGCTGGTGCTGCTGATGACTCTGCTGCTGTTGGTGCAACAGCTGCTGCCGTGGCTGTGACTGATGCTGCTGCGGTTGCTGGGCAGGAGGCATATGTTGAAAGTTTATCCCAGGATGCTGCTGCTGCTGCTGCTGTTGCTGTTGCTGCTGCTGTTGCTGTTGCTGTTGCTGTTGTTGCTGCTGTTGTTGTTGCTGCTTTGGTGATTGCTGCTCCTGCTGCTGCTGCTGTTGCTGTTGTTGCAAATGCAGCTGCAGCTGCTGTTGCTGCTGTGGATGCTGCAATAGCGGCTGGCCCATCAATTGCCCACCCACCACCATCTCTGACCCCTTCTGCGTTCCCCCCATCATCACCTCCCCACTGGCACCCCCTGTTACCCCGCCCAACATACCCCCACCGCTACCCACCGCCCCTGCTATGCCTGGCACAGAGGGAGGGGCGGAGGGGGTGTGTAAGGGGCCTGCAGCAGCAGCGAGGGCGGCAGCAGCAGGGGCGCGGAGGGCAGCAGAGGAGGCAGGGCCGTGCTTGGACTGCCTGGTGCTGCCGTCTGTAGGAGATGGGGAAAGGGGCGGGGAAGTGGAGAGACAGTGAGGAGATACTGTGAGCAAGGGAGGGGCGGAGGGGGTGTGTAAGGGGCCTGCAGCAGCAGCGAGGGCGGCAGCGGCAGGGGCGCGGAGGGCAGCAGAGGAGGCAGGGCCATGCTTGGACTGCCTGGTGCTGCCGTCTGTAGGGAAGGGGACGGGGAGGGCGGTGGCGGAGACAGGTGGGGGGGGTATTGTGAGCGAGGGAGGGGCGAAGGGGGCGAGTGTATGAAGCCTCATGCAGCAGCCAGGGCGGCAGCAGCAGGGGCGCAGAGGGCAGCAGAAGAGGCCCGGCCGTGCTTGATTGGCGCAAATTAGCATGCTAAAAAAGAAGAAAGAAATTCCAGACACCAAAGAAAAAAATATGACGAACCTGGATGGCCATGTGCAGCAGCAGCAGCAATCTGGTGTTGACTGACTTTCTCCAATACACTCTGCCTCCCCCCAACCCCCCCTGCCCCCACTCCCGCTGCAATTCCCCCTCCCCCTGCCGACCTCCCCCCACCTCCCACTCCCCCCTCCCCTGCTCCCCCAGCCGCTCCCCCAAACTGCCCCCGCCCATCCGCCTCATTCCCCCCACACACAAGCAGCCGAGACACATCAGCTGCCGCCCCAGCGCCCTGCCCCCCCGCGCCCATCCCCATCCCCGCGCCAGCTGCTGCTGAAACGGGGAACCCTAAAGGTGGAGAAGGAAGGACGGCACGGGGCGAGGCTAGGGGGGTGCCCAGAAGACTTGTTGATCCTGCACCTGAATTTACACCTGAAGGGCCACCAGCACCAGCGGCACCTGCTGCTGCCGCAGCAGCAACAGCAGCGGAAAAGGGTCCCTGCGAGTTTCTGCTGATTGGAGCGTGGGTGGGCGGGAGGGAAAGCCCTTGCCCCATGGGGCCTGATGCTTCCGGTGGGGTGGAAGGTGCGCTGCCTGCTTTCCCACCCGCTCCTCCTCCCCCTCCTCCCGCTGCTCCCGCTCCTGCGGCTGCTGCTGGTACGGTTTGTGCTGCGGCCATTGCAGCTCCTTTAGCAGAGTTTTCACCTCCGGCTTGACCCGCGGCTGCTGCAGCAGCTGCTGCTGCTGCTGCCCCTCGTCGCTTCTTGAGAGGAGCTGCGACACAAGGGAGGCGGCACAGGGAGGAAGAGGGGAAGGGGGAAAAACGGGCAAGAGGAGCGTATGGCGTTCTGAAACGTCTCAAGAGGGGGGAAGA